CCCACCCCTGTACCCTCCACCCCCTCCCTATCACTATCACCAGATGAGGATACCACTAGTTCCTCCAGCAGCAGCGACGAAGAGAAGAAGAAGAAGAAGCAGGCTGCCCCTCCACCTCCGCCCGCCCCCGCTGCCGAAAAGAAAGACAAAGCAGCAGCGAAACAGGAGGAAGGCCCGGCCAAGCGGGAGCGCAAGGGGTCTGCCTCTTCTTCTTCTTCTTCTTCATCAGACGAAGAGAGCCCAAGGAAGAACAAAGCTAACGGCAGTGGAAAGGCCATGAAATCTCCCAGTGGGAAGAGTGGGAAAAGTGGGAAGAGCGGAAAGAGTGAGAAGAAATCGTCGACTTGTGTCTTATTGTAAATTCGGGATGGAAATCGGTCAGAATTTTTACGACATTCTGTGTTATTGTTATTGTTATATTTGAAGAAGAAAAGAAAAGATGAAATAAAGAAACAAAACAAAAAAAAAAGAAAGAATTAAATTTTCAGATGACCTATTCAAGTTCTGAAATATATACTTAGAAGTTAGAGGTAGAGACTCTATTTATAGAATATCTATCTATAGCTTTCTTGGTCTGATAAAACGTCTTCATTTTGATATAGATATATAATAAATTCTTTTATGCAGTCAACTGTTTCCTTTCATAATCATATTATCTGTTACATTTGGATTTTTGAGAATTCACAAACATTTAATGTGTCCCAAGAGATATTCTAATCTTTTTTTACTCGGATGTTGTTTGAGTAATTTTCGGTTCACCGCAGGAAACTCATTCTCATTAAAAAAAAAAAAATTTTTTAAGAATAAGAAAACGGTAAAGGTAAGATGCTTCCCTTTGTCAAAGTAAACCTTGGATTTTGTGAGTAGTGGAAGCTATGGGAATATGTCAACTATCCAGTGTAAAACTACGCCAAACGTCACTTTTTAAAATGTGTCACGACGTGGTGGAATCAGGCACTCGTCCATTTTTGGGCATGTGGAGTTATTGATATCATCTTAAAGATTGTTTATTTGTCTATATTTCGATGAAAATAAAAGTTACCCATTTATCGTGCATAAAAGTCAAGATATTTGTGATTGAAGAAGGTGGAGTCACCTGGTTTCAGAAGCAAAATTAGGGAGAAAAAGGTCACCAAAGTTTGGTGACTTCCGAAGCTTGAGAGTTCTTTGAAACTGTTAATTTACACGTTTGTGCTTTTAATCAACAATTTTCAGTAACTTCCACACAGAAATGTGTTTTTAAATGAATATAAAACGTGTTGAACCGAACAAAGAACATTCTTGACGCTTTACCGCCTCATCTCGCTGGTTAGCGATGTTTTCCACCCAGTTTCTTTGGATTTTCCTCAAAATATGATGGCAAAAAATGGCCCAACGTCCAGATGTTTTGATGAGCGCCTGATTTCACCACGATGCCTCACGGATAATGTATGGCCAAGTCTTAGACTGAATAGTCAGTGAAAGAATAGTTAAGGCTAGCAAAAATAATGAAGACAATGTTTGTTACTTTGAAATATTTTAATGACGTGATATATGCAAACCTATTTGGTCTTTTTTGTGTGTATTTTTAGAGAATGTACAATGTACGGTTTGTTATTTTTTCTCTGCTCATTTGACTTTGATGCTTTTGCACTAGTAGTACTAGTGATCGATACGATGCCCAGGTTTTTATTAAAAGCCGCACTTTTCAGCATTTTTCGTTCTTTTTTATTTCGCGTATGAGTGCACAATTTTTTTTTTATGTCTATGAGAAATTTTACAAGTGAATTCAGTTGGACCGTATAGAATATTATAATACGTGAACAAAACCATAAGCCGCTGAGTCAAATGTAGCCTTATAACTATTGATGTCGCTGGTTCGAATTTTGTTCTTCTGTCTTTGGCTTAATTAAGCCTATGCAATAAGCTGTGATATACTCAAAGAAAAAAAACGTAGACATCAGTTTTGATATCAGTTCTTACATGATTCAAGACATGCTCTTTATATTGCTTATTTGGTTCAAGTCACGACTGAAAGGGTCAGAGTCTAGCCTAAGTCATTTTTTGATAAAACTAGAGTTAAGTATAATGACACTCCTCAAGTATTTGAATCTGATTGAAATGGCAGAACGTCTTTAACTCTTTATCTCCGAGGGGGGGGGGGGGGGGGGAAACCCACTATGCTGCGGCCCTTATTTGATACTAAATCTTAAACCGTCTCTAAATTTGGTCATAAAATCAAGACAAGTGAACCTATTTTGATAGTTCTTCATCTAATGAAATGAACTCCCTGTAAAAGAGACTTGTTTTCAATAAATGCTGAAAAGTAATTTGATGTCGAAGTCGTCATAAAGGAATGTGCCCAAGCCACTGTCAGCGACTTGCCAGAGATATAGAGTTAAATCAGAGTTGTGGTTTTTCACTTGTACAAATTACCCAAACTCCCAGTTTATCAACATCATGCTGATTAAGTCAGGTGTTGTTTTTTTTTTGGGGGGGGGCATTTTTCTCGAAATGACTTCAAGGCATTCAAGGTGACTAAGACTTAGACCTTTTTTTTCTCCGACCCTTTCAATTGTATCTTATCTGATAATTCAACTGATTTTGAAGGCTTTTAAAAAAAATAAATTCTAATTCATTTTACCCTGTGATTTGTGATCTCCATTTTACACTGTTAATAGTTAACTTGAGATTTTATTTCGACCTGACTGCGTGGTTAGAAACCCTTGTTCTATTCATGCCTTTGGCTGTGTTCTTCGGATTCCTTTACAGATGCACGTTTGTTTTTTTAACAGTATTAATATAAATACCATAATTCCTTTTGTGAAGATTCTGTATTTGTGAGGCGTGCTGACAGAATGAGTTATTTCTTGCACTCCAAGAATGGAGATATAGGCCGAAAATCAACACTAGAGTCAGATTTATACAATTTCAGTTGATCCTATTTTGTTCAAGTCTACCGTGATTTTTATTATTTCGGACTTACAAGTTGTACATATTCCACCCATAAAGTTTATGTATCAATTTCCATACGGCTAAAATCCAACAAGTAACAAATTTTGTCAGCACACCTCACATTTGTCACATATTGTATAATTCATAGTTTAATTTTTATTATGCTGCAATCTTGGGTTGTTGTTGTTTTTTTTGTTTTTTTTGGGGGGGGGGTTATAGGAAAAGAAGGGAGGAAGGGGAGGAGTATACTCCTATCCTAGAGGTATAACCTGTTTATTTGAATACAATATATTATTATCCTCGATTGCGTGGATGTTTATTAAACATTCAGTGAAACACACGATGTCGTTAATTGTTCTTTTGAACTTGCACGTGGGACATGATAATAGTGTTTCAGGTACTGCTGACTTTTAATTTTACTCACATTTAATCCCTTTTGGACTGCTGCTACCATCTATGCTTTATGTCATGCACGGAGGAAGTTTCACAACTTTTCTATGCGACTCAAACATTCATCACCTCCCTCCTACTCCTACCCAATAACCTGAAAGATTATTATTTAAACATCTCTGAATGACCTTATTGCCACCAATGAGTGAAAAGAGATGTAACATTTTTCACTGGGTGAAATTGGGATCGCGGGACGGAGAAAAATTTAAAAGAAAGAAAAAAAATGAATCCAGTTTTTGTATTTTTAACGGAATTAACTAGGTAAACAAGTCGTTTTTTTCAATCTGTCAGCATGCCATATATTAATATGTAACTAGTTACAAGAATTCTGTTTAAGTCTAAAGGAACTTTTCATAAAAAGGTTTGTAAAATCACTTTTGCATTATTACATAAACTACAGAGCCATCATTATCTTTGCTTATATATATAATATAGGCCTTTATAAAAAATATAATAATATAGAGCTTACATGTATCAATAGTTCTTATAACTGCCTTGACATGGTAACCTATCACGGAAATAGACGTAGATCTAGTTTCTTGCTAGCCACTGTTTGACCACAGCAGTTTTCCTCAGGCTTTCAGTGTTTGTGTTTGCCCAGATTTGACAAGTGGTTTGAATAATTTTATTCTATTAATGGCTTTTTTTTTCTTAATTAAATGTAGGAGTTTTCACACCCCCATCAGTACAATTTAGATAGTTTTAAATTCTTATTCCTCACATCACAGTTTTGTAATGTAAACATGTCATTGGTTTTTCGTCAGTAGCTTCAAACATTTTCAATACGTTATAATTCTATTGCTTCGATTCTGGCCAGTTTTTTTCGTGTCATCAATTTGATTAATTCCCTCAGTGTGCAGTTGTAAGCTTTTGCTTCAGGATGAATTTTGCTGCTGTTTTAGTTTCCTCCTGAGTTACTCTTACTACTGGTCTTTGTTACGACTAAGTTACATTATACGTCAAAGACTTTGTATTGACTCGTTTTATGGTGTTGAGGATTTCATTTTTTGACTGTGTGCTTTTTTTTACACTTTTACTTTTGACACCACTTTGCTCAAGTTCTCAACTCTCCTTTTTTTACACTTTACACTATGTAATATTATGCCTAAATATTTTCGGTGACATTGTTATTTGATCTATATTTACCAAAATCAATCATGTCTAACATGTCGCAAATCCTTGCATTATGCTGAAGTCTGAATCTGAAGTAGTTTATCAGGATCTATCGTCGTGACCTGTAAGTAAGAAATCACTTCCTTAATAAGCAATTTTGTCCATGAAAAAAGTATAACGTTAAGACAAAATTAAACGTCCAACAATTTGTTCAAAACACTTTTCTGACACTTTTTTTTTCGGAAAAAGGTTATGTCCTGTTGAAGACTGGTCAGACTTTTGTGTAGGCTGCTTTCTCAAAATGGTCTCAAAATGGAAGCTTTTTGGGGTTTTTTGGTTTTTAAAAAAAATTTTCAGACAACTATAATATTAATATTATACTGTACACACTCTTATTTTGATTTTTTTCAACCAATCCGCACTGGACTTTTTTTTCCAAGCAAACCTGTTCAATACCAGATCTGTGTGGACGGAGAAAATAAAATTGAACTTACACTTACAAAATTATATTAAATATAGTGACATGTTCGACATAAAGGGCTTTATAATTCGCTGGCTACAAGTACAAGTAAGTTGCATTTTTTTTTTTCCTTGCACGGTATTTGAGTGACATAATTCGACTAATTTGTGACAATACTTTTCGTACAACTGTTTTGTTTTCTACTAGACTGTACATAAATAATATCCTCCCAGCCCATCTGTTTGGCTGTTGTTGAGAATAAAGACAACTCGGCCTACCTGTCAGAGGTTGCCTTGGTTTTTGATGAAATATTATTCGAGTCTGGGTTTTTTCTTCTTTTGTCTTGCTTTTGATGAAAAAAAAAAATTATAATAAATAATAAATAGCATTTGTATAGCGCATATCCCCGCTCAACAGCAGGCTCTATGCGCTTTACACTATATTATTACCCCAGCAGACCATAGAACACTCCGAAACATTCTCAGCTTCCCGGGAAGCATACAGTGCAAGCAGCTGATTAAGCGCTCAAACACTAACAAACTGACAAGATCTTTCGCTGTCTATAGCCGGGTACCCATTCCCACCTGGGTGAAGTGAGGAAAATTTGAGCCCTTGACGGAATTCGAACCCACGACCTTACGGTTGCGAGTCCGAGAGCCTAATCACTAGGCCACCGACGCCATATCAGTTTTGAATAAAATAAAGTCGAGATAAATTTAAGATTTAAAGAGATGGGGTTCACGTGATGTCAGACGTAAAATTAGGGAGTATATGTGAGGTGTGCTGACAAAATGAGTTAGATCTACTTCTCGCAATCCACAAATGGAGATATTGTCCAAAAATCGACTTTAGGGTCAAATTTATCATTTTCTATTGGTGTAATATAATATTCTTTAACTGTAACTGCAACCTGTCTATTATTATTTCTTACTTATAAATTGTAAAAATTTCGCTTTCAAGCGTGAGGTATCTATTTACTTAAGGCTTGAATCCGAGACGTGACTCATTTTGTCAGCACACTTCAC